AGGCGGGCGTGTCCGGGCGCCCATATCCACCCCATATTTGGGCTGGATATGAGGGGTGCCGATCAGCCGAGGCGTCTGAGGCCTGTTTGAGGCGTCCGTCTGGGTCAAAAAATCATGACCGGTCAGTGACCGAGCGGGCCGCTCGGGCGTTTGAGGAGGTTTTGGGGTGCCGGCTATAGATGCTCTAAGGTCATCTCCAACGCTGGCCCTTAAACCGCCCGCAACAGTCCAGATTAACCTGATCGGACCAATTCTGCCATCCAATGTGGCCCTATAGCGGTCTGCTCGGCGGCCCGGACGTCATTTTTCCGGTAAATTAAAAGTAAACTGGGGAGGGGGGTGATACGTCTCCAATGTATCTATAATTTTTGATTGGTCCATGCTATATTATCTACTGTTTTGGACATTACTGGACTTTATTATACACTTTTATATTATTTTTGGGACTAACCTATTAACCGGAGGCCCAGCCCAGAATTGCTGTTTTTTTGCCTATTTTAGGGTTGCGAAGAAAAGAAATATCAAACGGAGTCCAAACGGAATGAAACCTTCGGGAACGTGATTTTCTCACCAAACATGATCAGGAAGACTTGGACCCTATGTCAAGCAACCAACATGGCAGCCACGATGTAGGGGGGCGCGCCTACCCCACCCCCCCAGGCACGCCCTCCACCCTTGTGGGCCCCCTGTTGCTCCACTGACGTACTTGTTCCTTCTATATATACCTATGTACCCCCAAACGATCGGATACGGAGCCAAAACCCTAATTCCACTACCGTAACTTTCTGTATCCACGAGATCCCATCTTGGGGCCTATTCCGGAGTTCCACCAGAGGGGGCATCGATCACGGAGGGCTTCTACATCAACACCATAGCCTCTCCGATGAAGTGTGAGTAGTTTACTTCAGACCTTCGGGTCCATAGTTATTAGCTAGATGACTTCTTCTCTCTTTTTGGATCTCAATACAAAGTTCTCCCCTCTCTTGTGGAAATCTATTCGATGTAATCTTCTTTTGCGGTGTGTTTGTTGAGACCGATGAATTGTGGGTTTATGATCAAGTTTATCTATGAACAATATTTGAATCTTCTCTGAATTCTTTTATGTATGATTGGTTATCTTTGCAAGTCTCTTTGAATTATCAGTTTGGTTTGGCCTACTAGATTGATCTTTCTTGCAATGAGAGAAGTGCTTAGCTTTGGGTTCAATCTTGCGGCGTCCTTTTCTAGTGACAGTAGGGGCAGCAAGGCACGTATTGTATTGTTGCCATCGAGGATAACAAGATGTTTTTTTTATCATATTGCATGAATTTATCCCTCTATATCATGTCATCTTGCTTAAGGCGTTACTCTGTTGTTATGAACTTAATACTCTAGATGCATGCTGTATAGCAGTCGATGTGTGGAGTAATAGTAGTAGATGCAGACAGGAGTCGGTCTATTTTTCTTGGACGTGATGCCTATATACATGATCATACCTAAATATTCTCATAACTATGCTCAATTCTGTCAATTGCTCAACAGTAATTCGTTCACCCACCATAAAATACCTATGCTCTTGAGAGAAGCCACTAGTGAAACCTATGGCCTCTGGGTCTATCTTTATCATATTAATCTTCCCATACTTAGTTATTTTCATTGCTTTTATTTTACTTTGCATCTTTATCATAAAAATACCAAAAATATTATCTTATCATATCTATCAGATCTCACTCTCGTAAGTGACCGTGTAGGGATTGACAACCCCTTATCGCGTTGGTTGCGAGGATTTATTTATTTTGTGTAGGTGCGAGGGACTCGCGCGTAACCTCCTACTGCATTGATACCTTGGTTCTCAAAAACTGAGGAAAATACTTACGCTACTCTGCTGCATCACCCTTTCCTCTTCAAGGGAAAACCAACACAAGTGCTCAAGAGGTAGCAGGGTGCTTTGCGGGAGTCCTAACCACTGCCACGCAGGACCCTGACAATCCCGGCACACCCAAATCCCTCATCCAGCCACATTCTCTTCCACCCCGTCCCTGCTCCCTCGTGCTTTGCATCCACATCCTCCTCCTCTGACGCCGTCGACGTACCTCTCCGGCCGCCGCCTAGGCGTTGCCTGGCGTCCATGCCCCCACCCATGCGCCTGCTCGCTTGTACTATGAAGCTGTCCACCTAGGATCCGTCCGCAACCAAATATCCTCCATCCCCTGTCGACGCCGTCCATGGTGGACACCACGCCTGACAGGTGTTCGGTCAAATGCCTTTGTTCTTATTTTCGAACTTGTGTCATTTTCAGAGTAAAAAGGATGGCGATGGACTCAGTGAAGGAGGAGGATTTGTTTTGCGATGCATGGTTAGCCGTATATCCTGACTTCGTAGGCAGAAGCAGAAGGGGGGCCTTTTGGCAGCTCGTCCATGGTTCGTTCCATGCGCGGAAGCACATTGCGCCCTATAACACGCACATCATCCATGATTGCAACGTCAAGTTGCTAGCGCATCGATGGTACATCATCTAGAACTCCGTCACGAAGTTTGTGTGGCATGGTTGATCTGCTGGAGGGCAATGTGGCCACTGTGCGTGGTAACCATGGAGATCGTAAGTTTTGCTTCTTCTTGCTCTACATGTTGATTGATCCATTTATTCACTCAATGTGGTCGTACACGTTGTTTAGTCTGCATGCGCTGCCACGATGTAGTACAAGTCAGAGGGCCGGTGGCGGAGCTTGCATAAAAAAATTGGGCTGGCCAAACTATAGGGGATTGCTCATTGTCAGCTTTTCTAGGTCCATAGGCTAGCTGTAATAGGTGCAAGTGCTACAAAGCTGGGCGGGCCATGGCCTAGTTAGCCTTGCTGTAGCTCCGCCACTGCAGAGGGCAAACCATTCACGGACATACATTGCTGGATGAAGTCGAAGGGGTTGTACATGTGGGACAACATGATTCATTCGTAAAAGACTCGTTGAACAACCGGTTAATCTTATTGAATTTGAACTAATGTTGTACAAGACATATCTGCATGCTATTTATGGATGATTTGTGCTATTTTTCATCCGAAATTTGATCAATTCCGTCATGTTTGATGTAATTCGTCCAGTTAGTTGAAATCCGATTTAAAATGTATGTGGTTACGGTGGGATGACCGGCTCCTGCATCCGTATCCGTGCACTGCCCCTATCCACGGACGAATGCAGTGTCCGGTTTGAGGTCGGCGCTCAAAATGTTCTAATAACTCAACACGTGACCAAGACTTTCCATGCGCCGCACGCCGTTGAATTCTATGACCTCAACCCATTGTACATGTCTATGAACCGATCGAACAAGAGGGGAGCAGGTGAGTGAGCATGTGTGAAGTTTTCTGGTCTTTCTAAAACCAGGATCAACTTTAGTGCAGCTCTAAAAAACCTGGAAAAGGAAGCTATTTTGATCTAATAAAAATATATCGATACATGAATTGAACGTGCCTCAGATGATTAGTTTCATTGTGGTTGAACCAACTCACTCGGGTTGAAGCCTTAGAGCTGAGAGGGGAGCTTGTATTTCTAAGTTTATTCTAGACTTTTCAACGAAGCTCCCCCAGTGGGGGATGGCATTCTCATCAACTATATATGAGGTGCGCCTGTGACTTCATCAATCCTAAAACTGTAGAAAATAAATTTTGTCCCAACTATTTCCTATCAGAACAAGTTGTAAGTGTGTATGCCACGAATGTATATCCACGTGGCATGCCTCATTTGCTCGATGGGTGAGCCCTTCTTCCTAGTTCATGGGTAATTTGCCGAAAGGGGTATATTGTCTTGCAAGTTTGCTAAATGCGGGCTGGAGTACATTGTGTCAACAAGTTTCCTAGATGGGATAAATCGGGGACAATTTTCCTGAATGTGATACTTATGGTTTGTTTGGCATTGCGATGGATTATGGCAATCCTGTTTCGCCTATTCTGATATTTGTTTGATCCGTTTGGTAATATATTTGTGGCTAATTTTCCACAATAAAATATATAAGGACATGCATCAAAACACAATCGGCAACAGCAAACTGAGTCTGACTAAGCTATCACAGATGTTATAATATCTTTCTTTTCTTTTTTTTGAATAGGATGTTATAATATGTATCTTGGGGAGTAACATTAGTTTTCTTAATAGATTGCACTACAGGCAAACACCACTAAGGGCTCATTCGGTTTATAGGATTTTCAAATCAAATAAATAGAAAAAGTAAACCCAAATGGGCCCTAAATAAAATATCAAAGGACACTTTACCGAGTCAATGTAAACCTAATTTGCCCATTCTGACCTCTGAACGGCGTGAAGAGCCAGTCTAGGACAACATTAGTATATCTATTAACATTCACAACGGTCACTGTCTAAGATCTGAACGCGGCGTCCCGATCCCATCCTCTGCTTAGCCTGATCGTAATGAGAGTATCATAAGCGGTATCATGTATGCCAACTAGATTTTTAAATGATATGACACACAATTAAATAAGGAGAGAGTGTGTGGTATCATGTATCATATCATGATACCACATCATATTAAATATTGCACTACTTTATGTCATGCAAAGCAATTAATAAGATAACCTAAAATATTAATTTATAATACTATGTATTACGAAGGTTTATATTAATATCATACATATGATACTCGTTACAACCAGCCTCACCGGTACTAACGATGCTGCCACTACTCCTGTTTCCTCTCTTCTCGACGGCTAGAAAATGTCATGCATGGTCAACTCAATTCGCCAATAGCAAAAGAAAATGTCCATCCCCCACCTACCTAAAGAAATGTCTTTTGACCAATCCAATTCCAACCCCGGTTGCTCCAATGGAATGCCTCAGGAAATGCATGCAAGCATGCATCGCCCTCCGGCTCTATATAACACTCGACATCTGCTCATCCAGTCTCACCATCCAATAATCACACACTACTACTACCTTGCTTGTACCAGGAAGAACACCAGCCGAGCTACCTTTGCTCAGCAAGAAAGCTCATTCTTACGCACGTTCACTGTTGACATGAAGATCACCGTGCACTCGTCCAAGGCCGTCAAGCCCGACTACGGCGCCTGCGGCGTCGCTCCAGGCTGCACCGCCGACGTCGTCCCGCTCACCGTGCTCGACAAGGCCAACTTCGACACGTACATCTCCGTCATCTACGCCTTCCACGCACCGGCGCCGCCCAATGACGTCCTCGAGGCCGGGCTGGCCAGGGTGTTGGTGGACTACCGCGAGTGGGCCGGCCGGCTCGGCGTGGACGCCAACGGCGAACGCGCTATCCTGCTCAACGACGCCGGCGCGCGTTTCGTGGAGGCGACGGCCGACGTGGCGCTCGACAGCGTCATGCCGCTCAAGCCCACGCCGGAGGTGCTCAGCCTGCACCCCAGCGGCGATGACGGCCCCGAGGAGCTCATGCTGATCCAGGTCACGCGCTTCTCGTGCGGGTCGCTCGTCGTGGGGTTCACCACGCAGCACATCGTGTCCGACGGCCGCTCCACCGGCAACTTCTTCGTCGCCTGGAGCCAGGCCACCCGCGGCGCCGCCGTCGACCCCGTCCCGGTGCACGACCGCGCTTCCTTCTTCCATCCCCGCGAACCGCTGCACGTCGAGTACGAGCACCGTGGCGTCGAGTTCAAGCCCTACGAAAAGGTGCACGACGACGTTGTCCGTGCGGACGGCGACGACGACGAGGTGGTGGTGAACAAGGTGCACTTTAGCCGGGAGTTCATCTCCAGGCTCAAGGCGCAGGCGTCGGCGGGCGCGCCCAGGCCGTGCAGCACCCTGCAGTGCGTGGTGGCGCACCTGTGGCGGACCATGACGATGGCGCGCGGGCTCGACGGCGGGGAGAGCACCAGCGTCGCCATCGCGGTGGACGGGAGAGCGCGGATGAGCCCGCAGGTGCCGGACGGATACACCGGTAACGTCATCCTCTGGGCGCGGCCCACCACGACGGCGGGTGAACTCGTGGCCAGGCCGTTGAAGCACGCGGTGGAGCTCATCAGCCGGGAGGTGGCCCGTATCAACGACGGCTACTTCAAGTCCTTCATCGACTTCGCCAACTCGGGCGCCGTGGAGAAGGAGCGGCTGGCGGCGACGGCGGACGCGGCTGAGATGGTGCTGAGCCCCAACATCGAGGTCGACAGCTGGCTGCGGATCCCGTTCTACGACATGGACTTCGGCGGCGGCCGGCCCTTCTTCTTCATGCCCAGCTACCTGCCGGTGGAGGGCCTGCTCATCCTGCTGCCCTCCTTCTTGGGCGACGGCAGCGTGGACGCCTACGTGCCACTCTTTAGCCGCGACATGAACACCTTCAAGAACTGCTGCTACACCCTCGACTAGCTCCACTTGACGTACCTGCCATGTGCAAATGTGTGCCTGGTGTCGGATCAACGTTAGCTACTTGCCTAGTTATATTTTTGAAGTTCTTGATTCAATTGCCCATGCTGTTTTGGAAGAGTAAATAAACGAAATTTTAATCTTTCAGATCGTGAACATGATTAAGGCAAATATTTTACCAATGGGCTTTTGAGATATTTCTTTGCGGGAAGGCTTATTCAGATATTTCTTCTAACTTGATAATTTTTCTGCATTACAATTTACAACTAGGGCACTAATATTCTATTATGTCAGACCTTGACGGCGCATCCATTATTGATAGATAGATGCGTTAAAAATTTAGTTAGTTTTAGCAGGCAATTGCCATTTTTACCTGTCATTCAATTATTATTGTAACAAACTAATTTTCTGTGCGTTGCAATGGAGGATGCATATTCTAGTGGTTCAACTCAATAGTGTCCTTTGTATACCTTACACTCATCATATTCTAATACAAAAAGTGATTTGATGATTGAGTTAATGCAAAAGATTAGATTTTACATGATCTCCTGTGTTTGACATATAGCATGCTTTGATTTTATTTAATTGAGTTAATGCAATTACTTTATAACCACCACGAGGCGCTGCCAAAGATTTGATTGAGTTAATGTAGGATGTGTTGAGGGAAGGCTTCACCAACAGACGTACAACTACCAACTTTCCTTTAATAGTAGAGATTGTGTACCAAAAGCGTAGACTTGATTTGATAATATTTTTTTCGCTTATCAGATAGAACATGAATTTATGTGGTTAGTAAATAAGACATGAGACAGTTGAGGCGGTCTTGATGGGAAACCGGTAGGACATAGTAGAGTTGAGAAGGGAAAAATCAAAACGGGGAGGATCGAACGCGAGAACGTAGGTGAAGTTGAAGGAGTGAAACAAAAATCTTACACTGTTTTTAAATAGTGGAGATAAAGATTGTTCAGTTTCTGTTGTGAATTCTTTAATCTTAAAATTTGACGGCTCTCTGGATTTATTTCAGTCTTTTCGCTAATGTTTGGAGACGTTCACGTCAACTATGAAAGCGTTTGTGGTGGCTTCGTCAATCTCAAAATAAAGTATCGGCTCGGTGTTTCAGAGACGCTCATAAGGGTAGGGCTTGAGTGCGTGCATTTATATGATGAGTGTGTGTGCGTATATGTATGATTGTCTGCGTTTGTAATGTGTTACAAAAATCACAGCTCTGGTCTTGCCTATGCATCTTGTGAGCGTGTGAGTGTGGTGGTGGTCTACGCTGTGAAATGAATCAAGAGGCAAACACGGCGCGAACATACAGTCTCAGCCCTCTGGCACGACAGATGCGTGCGAGCTGGCCCTACCGCCCACCCCAACGGACATATCGTTCAATTTATTTTTTTGCCATGCTATGACTGTAATGCCCGTGTTTATTAGAAATAATAAGGTTTTGGTATTTAATAATTAACAGAAATTAGCACACGCTAGAGTAATAATTATCAGCGTAATTAGATAAAATCAATCATTGGCAATCATTGGTTATTACTAACTAAGAGTAGTCAACTAAATTCCTTAATATGGAAGGATATGCATTAGAGGAACATGGTGGTAGAGCCTTCGGGTAGGAGGGCCACGTGTGGGTGTGGTACAAGATATTTTGCACCTCAAGCTTGCACTTATCTGTAGCATTTAATGCTCTATTGAGTCAGCTAGGCACGTGTTATGTAAAAGTACAAGCAGTTGTAAAATCTAGGGACACCGAGGCTGTTGATATTTTTGAGTTACAGTGATCCAGCTCCATCCCCTACACCCTACCATGCCTATAAATAGAGGAGCAAGAGCACGCTGTAGTACTCATCCCAGCATACAAACCAGTTCACTAGCTAGCTTTGCATGGAGTAGAATCACTGATCGGCAAGAGCCCTCGGAGGAAGCAGCGAGTCAACGAGTCAGGCAAGCATGCGTTCCATCTAGCCTTTCTAGCTGTCCTATTCCTTGTTTTGTCTCGCTGGTCATGCCATGCTCTATAGCCAGTAGTACTTCTGAAGCTCTATAATGTGCACTGTTCGTGTGATTTGATCCCTGTACATCTCTTGAAGCTAGCATGCATACCACAGTACTACTTTTTGGTTTATGATCACGGTGGAGAAATCCTTGGTACATGCATGTGAGCACATAGATTAATGGCTCATGCATGGATGGTTGTTTCTGTGGAAAGCCTAGAGATATTTATCTTGGTCTTGCATGTATTTCCTTTTGCTAATCCTTGTCTAGTAAATTTTATAAATATCTGGTGTCACGACGGCAAATGTATTGTACCGGTCACAGTTCAGGTATGGGACTGTCTGAGTTCTCCGCTAAGAACGACACTCGTTCGGAAGCGTGTCGATGATGGATCCGTAGGAGCGATCGACACTAGTAAGTTGAGTGGTTGGTTCTTGGGGGAATATAGAGCTCTGCTCTACTAGCGCATGTGTGGTTCTAGTCGAGACTGTCGACATCGGAGTACCCCTCTTAAGAGCGTAAAAGTGTGAAATTTCACCCCTGTGACTCCCGGGTTGGGAAGCTTGCAGTCATATGTGATGCCAGTTATTTCCTTTCTTTTTTTAAATTAAATCCATTATTTTTCTCTGCCATCAAACTCTTTCTATACAACTAACCCCTTTGTTTTTGTCACTTTTGCCGTGAGAGGTTCCGTTTTTACCCGTGTGCTTGCTGAGTATGAGATCATACTCATTCTTGCTATTGTTGTTGATTTTGCAGAAGTAGCAAAATGATGGATGTGCTGATGAGAATGATGAACAGTAGGAGTAGCTCTACGGGTTGGGAATAAATAAAGAAGTTGCATGTATCATGACCTTTGTAATAGCTAGTAATGAATAAAGTTGGCTCTTGTGCATACTGGAATTTTTTTTGTTTACTAGCCTAACATGCCTATAAACTTGAGATTTATAAGCATGTGGCGATTGTCACAGCTAAGACCCACTTGGGGCGTGACAATTTTATTGGCATCAGAGCCAGGTTAAAAAAAGTATAAACACTAATGTGGGTTTAACTAAGGGGATAGTCTAGGTACGTAAAGCAGGAATTAACGATTAATTGAATGCTTATTTTCTGTGCTTAATTAGCATGTTTGATATGTAGTCTGTATTTATTTTTGAACTAACTGTGTGCTGAAAGCAGGGATGGATGAGTATACAATCTTCCATCTCAACTTTGTGAGCATATTAGAGGAGGTAGCTGAACATTTCCATTTGGAGCCGCCAGTAGTGTCGACAGTGAAGCGTTTTGAGGGCGATGGGTACCAAGGTGCAGTACATTTGCAGCTCACCCCAGATGATGATAATTCTAATAAGACCATCTATGGGTATGGTGAAGATGCTAAAGATGCTGGCAACCTTGCTGCATGGGAAGCACTCAAGTTTCTTCATTTTTCTGTTAACTTTGCTTTGGTGGACCTGCATATGTATGAGTACTGGGAGGTACTACTAACTCTAGTGCAGAAGGAGCAGCAACACCACATAGAGATGACACAACTAAACCAGTTTCATGAGGCTTGCCGGCAGCATGAGTTAGAGTATCTTGAGCAAGAACATGATGACTGTGTTTATGAGATCAAGCATGACCTCAACCTCCAGATAGAGGACAGGGATCGTTGGCTCAAAATAGAAGAACACAAGAGTAAGAAACTGAAGCTGGAGCGTGATCAGTTGGAGGAGTTGACCAACAAGCAGGAGAGTAAAATCATGGAGCTAATGACAGAGAACAGAAGCCTCCGTGAGAAGCTGGCGGAAAAGCTACAGGTGCATGAATAGGATGCGAACGGTGGCACTTAGAGATATGAAGCAACTGTTCCTAGCTTTTAAATAAATGGTTCTAGTAGTACTGTTTGTATATAACCTGCTAGGAACTGTTCTGGTAGTAGCCTTTTGGCTAGCTAGCACTAGCTTGTTGACAACTCTAGCAGTATGGGTGTCTATAGTAGAGTGGCTGGAGGGAGACGTGGATGGCAGCAACACATCTAGTAGACAGGATGTGTAATTTTGATTGTACTACTGCTTTCCTCTTTAATAATCAGCTAGACCTGGTATATATGTATATGATGCATGTTCTAATGTTGACAGCTTTATTTATTTCTTCCTCTAGTATCATAGATGGCTAGTCACAATGGTGATTTCTCAGCATCACAGTCTGGTGATGGCCGGAATGCACTAGCAGCTGCAGCAGAGCAACCACTTCCAAATGAGTTGCTTATAAATATTTTGCAACGTCAAGAACAAACCCAAATGAAGCAGACTGAAATTCTGGAATATATAGTGCAACAGTCAACTAAAGGAAAGGAGTCGTTCGATGGAGGCAAACAGGGCGCATTACGTGAGTTCCGTCGACTTAAGCCTCCTGTTTTCCAAGGTAGTGCAAACCCAATAGAGGCCGAGGACTGGCTAACAGAAATAGAGAAAAGTTTCGATGCCATGCATTGCCCTGATGAAAAGAAGGTTACATTAGCCACGTTTATGCTACAAGGTGGGGCATTTGATTGGTGGACAGTGCATAAAAAGAAGTATCCTGAGGGCTATCTATTCACATGGGGATCATTTAAGGAAGAGTTCTACAGAAAGTATTTTCCAGAGAGCGTACAAAGGAAAATGGAGCTATCATTTTTACAGTTAAAACAGGACCAGAAATCTGTCGTGGAATATGAAATAGAATTTTCTAGACTTGCTCGTTATGCCTCTGTTTATGTCCAAAATGATGAAGCTAAAGCTCGGCGTTTCGCTCAAGGACTTCGCCAACCAATCAAGTCTCGAGTGGAGGTGTTCGAGCTCAAATCTTTTCGAGATATTGCTAACAAGGCATTAACTGTAGAACAAGCATATGTGGAAGAGCAAGCCGAAGTGGAGCAGCAGCGTAAGAGGATCAAGGTTGACCATGGAAATCAAGGGAATATACAGAAAGCGATGCAGCAGAATTGGCGTCCGAACAACCACCCAGTAGCCCAGCCTAGACGTAATAACTGTGTTATTTGTCATGGGAATCACACAGCATTCCAGTGCGAGTATCGTCATGGGAAATGTTTTAGGTGCGGCAGAGAAGGACACATGATCAGTCAGTGTCACAGTTCACCGGATCAGAATATGTTAAAGTCCATTGCACCAAAGCCGTTGCCAGCACCGAAAGCTCCATTATACTTACCTGCACCCCCTACTAACTCAAGTGGACCCTCTCAACACATGAATAGTTACTCTGGAAGTAGGAAACAGACAAATCCTCATGCAAAGGTGAATCACTTGACTCAGCATGATGCAGATGAGGACAACAACGTGATCACAGGTACACTTCAAGTATGCTCACACAACGCATTCACTTTATTTGATACCGGTGCTACACATTCATTTATATCCTCAAAATTTATCGATAGTCATGAATTAGAAAGTACCCCTTTAAGGAAAAGGATACATGTGGAATCTCCGATGACAGAAGTAATAGCCAAGAACATTTGTGTTGCATATCCTATAGTAATAAAAGGGCAAGAATTTTTGGTTGATTTAATAGTACTAGATATGCATGATTTTGATATTATACTGGGCATGGATTGGCTGGCTAAGAATCAAGCGAACATAGACTGTCAGAGAAAGCGAGTGATAATTCAGGTACCTGGTCAGCGTAAAATCATTTATCAAGCGAAGCATAAAACTTTTGACTGCTCATTTAGCATGAATTTAGAAGTGAAAGAAAAGGATATCAAAGAAATACCAGTCGTACGAAATTTTCCTGATGTTTTTCCAAGTGAATTACCTGGATTACCACCGGACCGAGAAATTGAATTTAGTATAGACTTGACTCCAGGTACTGCTCCTATCTCAAAGAGTCCGTACAGAATGTCACCTGCTGAACTAAAGGAGTTGAAGAGGCAGATTAAGGAGCTAGAAGAAAAACAATTCATTCGACCTAGCATGTCACCATGGGGCGCTCCGGTGTTGTTTGTGAAAAAGAAGGATGGGAGTTGGCGACTTTGTGTGGATTATCGGGAGCTAAACAAGGTAACTATTAAGAACCGATATCCATTACCAAGAATTGATGATTTGTTCGATCAATTACAAGGGTCTCGAGTATTTTCAAAGATCGATTTGCAGTCAGGATATCATCAGTTAAAAATAAAGGATGGAGATATTCCAAAAACAGCGTTCCGCACAAGATATGGACATTATGAGTATGTTGTTATGCCATTCGGATTAACAAATGCTCCTGCGGCCTTCATGGATTTGATGAACCGAGTGTTCAGACCATTTTTGGATCAGTTTGTAGTTGTATTTATTGATGATATTTTGATTTATTCAAAGACAGAAGAAGAGCATGCTCAACACCTAGAAATAGTTCTTCAGACATTAAGGAAGCATAAATTATATGCAAAACTGAAGAAATGTGATTTCTGGTTAAATAAGGTGACTTTTCTAGGACACATTATTTCAGGGGAAGGAATATCACCAGATCCAACAAAAATTCAGGCAATAGTAGATTGGAAGAGGCCAACCACCGTTACAGAAATAAGAAGTTTCTTGGGATTAGCAGGTTATTACAGAAGATTTATTGAAGGCTTTGCACAGCTAGCAGCACCTTTGACACAGCTCACGCGCAAAGGGACAAAGTTTATTTGGGATGAAAAATGTGAAGAAAACTTCCAAGAATTAAAGCGACGATTGGTGACGGCCCCTGTTTTAGCAGTGCCAATCAGTGGAATTGGATTTACTATATTCTGTGATGCTTCAAAAATAGGCTTGGGTTGTGTGCTTATGCAAAACAATAAGGTAATTGCTTATGCTTCTCGATAGCTAAAGACACATGAGAAAAATTATCCGACTCATGATTTGGAATTGGGTGCTGTCATCTTTGCATTAAAAATATGGAGGCATTATTTGTATGGAGAACGCTGTGAAATTTATACAGATCATAAGAGCCTGAAATACATATTCACCCAGAAGGAATTAAACATGCGACAACGGAGGTGGTTAGAGTTACTTAAGGATTATGATATCAACATAAATTACCATCCAGGTAAAGCTAACGCTGTGGCTGATGCACTTAGTAGAAAGAATGTTTGCAACATGGCATGTCTAATTACTACACAAAGAGACATTTTGAGGGACATGGAGAAATTGGGTATAGAAGTATATGTACGTGATTCAACTAGCACTGTTATGGCATTACAACTCAAGCCTGATCTGCAAGACAAAATCCGGATGAAACAAATGGATGATCCATTTCTTTTGAACCTCCCAAAGGGGATAGAATAAGGAAAGCCATCGGAGTTTCATATAAGAAGTGATGGGTCTGTATGGCTGAGAAACCGCATTTGTGTCCCTGACCAGTCAGATTTAAAGTTGGAAATTATGCAAGAGGCACACTCCACACCATACACCGTACACCCAGGAAGCACAAAGATGTATCATGACATTAAAGGAAATTTTTGGTGGCCCAATATGAAGAGAGAAATAGCAAAATTTGTTTTAGAATGTCCAATATGTCAACAGGTAAAGGTAGACCATCAAAAACCAGCCGGTCTTCTACAACCTTTAAAAATCCCGACTTGGAAATGGGAAGAAATTAGTATGGATTTTGTCACGGGACTACCTCGAACTTCTGCAGGATACGATGCTATATGGGTCATAGTAGATAGATTGACCAAAGTGGCACAATTTATCCCGGTAAAGAAAACATTTTCTCTTGAAAAATTAGCTAAATTATACATCAAGGAGATAGTTGCTAATTATGGAGTTCCTGTTGACATTACATCTGATCGAGATCCGAGGTTTGTCTCAAGATTTTGGAAAAGTTTACATAAGGCATTGGGAAAAAGTTAAATTTTAGTACGGCATATCATCCTCAATCCGATGGACAGTCAGAACGAGTTATACAAATATTGGAGGATATGCTGCGAGCAAGTGTGTTAGACTTCAAGGAAAAATGGGATGAATCACTTCCTCTGGTAAAATTCGCATACAATAATACTTATCAGTCAAGTATTAAAATGGCTCCTTATGAAGCATTATATGGCAAGAGGTGTCGCTCTCCAATCTGCTGGGAAGAAATAGGAGAAAGGAAATATCTAGGTCCAGATTTGGTTCAACAGGCCGAGGAGAAATTACAAATTATTCGTGAGCACCTAAAGGCAGCACAAAGTCGACAAAAGACTCAAGCGGATAAAAAGCGCAGAGAAGTTGAGTTTAAGGCAGGAGACTTTGTCTATCTGAAAGTTTCTCCAAAGAAAGGGACGAGACGTTTTGGCCTACGTGGAAAATTAAGTCCAAGATATGTCGGGCCATTTCAAATCATTAATAAAGTTGGAGCTGTCGCTTACCGTCTAGAATTACCCCCAAATTTATCCGGGATACACAATGTGTTTCATGTATCCACTTTAAAGAAGTGTGAACTCCCACCAAAAACTGTAGAATTACCACTCACGGAGCTGCAGCCGGATCTAACCTATGAAGAACACCCAATAAAGATTTTGGATGTGAAAGATAGGGTAATGAGAAAAAGGACCATACGGTTTGTAAAAGTCCAGTGGAGCAACCATACAGAAGAGGAGGCGACATGGGAAAAAGAAGATGATCTACGCACATGTTTTCCGCATCTCAGTTTACGGGTAATTAAATTTCGAGAACGAAATTTCTATAAGTAGGGGAGGATGTAATGCCCGTGTTTATTAGAAATAATAAGGTTTTGGTATTTGATAATTAACAGAAATTAGCACACGCTAGAGTAATAATTATCAGCGTAATTAGATAAAATCAATCATTGGCAATCATTGGTTATTACTAACTAAGAGTAGTCAACTAAATTCCTTAATGTGGAAGGATATGCATTAGAGGAACATGCTGGTAGAGCCTTCGGGTAGGAGGGCCACGTGTGGGTGTGGTACAAGATATTTTGCACCTCAAGCTTGCACTTATCTGTAGCATTTAATGCTCTATTGAGTCAGCTAGGCACGTGTTATGTAAAAGTACAAGCAGCTGTAAAATCTAGGGACACCGAGGCTGTTGATATTTTTGAGTTATAGTGATCCAGCTCCATCCCCTACACCCTACCATGCCTATAAATAGAGGAGCAAGAGCACGCTGTAGTACTCATCCCAGTATACAAACCAGTTCACTAGCTAGCTTTGCATGGAGTAGAATCACTGATCGGCAAGAGCCCTCGGAGGAAGCAGCGAGTCAGCGAGTCAGGCAAGCATGCGTTCCATCTAGCCTTTCTAGCTGTCCTATTCCTTGTTTTGTCTCACTGTTCATGCCATGCTCTATAGCCAGTAGTACTTCTGAAGCTCTATAATGTGCACTGTTCGTGTGATTTGATCCCTGTACATCTCTTGAAGCTAGCATGCATACCACAGTACTACTTTTTGGTTTATGATCACGGTGGAGAAATCCTTGGTACATGCATGTGAGCACATAGATTAATGGCTCATGCATGGATGGTTGTTTCTGTGGAAAGCCTAGATATATTTATCTTGGTCTTGCATGTATTTCCTTTTGCTGATCCTTGTCTAGTAAATTTTATAAAAATCTGGTGTCACGACGGCAAATGTATTGTACCGGTCACAGTTCAGGTATGTGATTGTCTGAGTTCTCCGCTAAGAACGACACTCGTTCGGAAGCGTGTCGATGATGGATCCGTAGGAGCGATCGACACTAGTAAGTCGAGTGGTTGGTTCTTGGGGGAATATAGAGCTCTGCTCTACTAGCGCATGTGTGGTTCTAGTTGAGACTGTCGACATCGGAGTACCCCTCTTAAGAGCGTAAAAGTGTGAAATTTCACCCCTGTGACTCCCGGGTTGGGAAGCTTGCAGTCATATGTGATGCCAGTTATTTCCTTTCTGTTTTTAAATTAAATCCATTATCTTTCTCTGCCATCAAACTCTTTCTATACAACCCCTTTGTTTTTGTCACTTTTGCCGTGAGAGGTTCCGTTTTTACCCGTGTGCTTGCTGAGTATGAGATCATACTCATTCTTGCTATTGTTGTTGATTTTGCAGAAGTAGCAAAATGATGGATGTGCTGATGAGAATGATGAACAGTAGGAGTAGCTCTACGGGTTGGGAATAAATAAAGAAGTTGCATGTATCATGACCTTTGTAATAGCTAGTAATGAATAAAGTTGGCTCTTGTGCATACTGGAATTTTTTTTTGTTTACTAGCCTAACATGCCTATAAACTTGAGATTTATAAGCATGTGGCGATTGTCACAGCTAAGACCCACTTGGGGCGTGACAATGACCATGGTATTAGCAGGAAGAAATACCATGCTAGCAGAGAAAGTTGCCATATATTCACGAACTGTGATGCTACAGTAGAGAAAAAAAATGTCATGATGTATTTTCGTAGGGATAGGGTGTACGTTCATAATGATGAGTGTATGCGCGTATGTATGAGCGTTTGCGTCTATATTGATGTTAAAAAAATGCTGTAGCGCATAGAATTGCCATAGTACAGAGGAGGGAATTGCCTCCATGTTTAGGAATTGTAATGCTAGCAGGAGAGGATTGTCCTGCCACAACATTTTTGTTTTGTTTTGCATGCTACAGCAAAGAAAGTTTCTATACATGTCTATAAATTGACATGCCCCCAAAAATATCATAATATAGCACAAAACTTGGCACACATATTGTAGGACGCAGTCACCGCCTGACGTGCCGACCCATCAGAGGCGCAGTCACCGCCTGACGTGCCGACCCATCAGAGACGCAGTTGATGATGGCGCGGCGGAGAAGACGACGAAAGCACAAGAGTTCAAATTCAGTCGTCATCGTCCGTTTCACTCCCGCTACGACTGAGGGGGAATGTTAGAAGTATAATTATGTTTAAGTTAGAGATTAGGAGTTAGAGAAAGGATTGGTTTAAACCATGTACGACTTGTCCCCTACTCCAAGTCTCTCTCACATATTGTACTCTATATATATCCCACACCTGGTTCAGATCAACACAACAACAACATAATATTATCATCCTACAATTTCCACATGGTGAAGTGGGATGCTTGCATGTTAAGAGAATTAGTGATAATGGAATAAGGTTTGCATGGGCTGAAAAATATTGTTAGCGGATGCCAACGTGGCACATTTGGTGAGGTGGATGGTTTGCATGTTGAGAGGATTAGAAATAGTGGGGATCAACTATTTATGTATTACATATGTCCAATGACAAAAATAAACGTATTGAAATGGTTCGCATGGGCTGAAAAAAAGTTAGTATACGGTGAAGTGGGATGCTTGCATGTTGAGAGAACTAGTGATAATGGAATAAGGTTTGCATGAGCTGAAAAATATTGTTAGTAAATGCTGACGTAGCACATTTGGTGAGGTGAATGGTTTGTATGTTAAGAGAATTAGAAATAGTGGGATTATAGATTATAGATATGCCTTCAAGGGCTAGTCGTAGATGATCTTGTTCTTCTTTTATGGTGCCGAGATTCACGCACTGACGCACACATTGAACACACCATATCATATCGCGTCAGAATGGTTCTCCGAGATGGTTCAATCATTATTATTTCCAACAAAGACTTACTATCTCTGTCCTGATTTATTAGTCCCTTTTACAATTTGTGCTAAATTTTGATCAAAAATTTAACTGACAAAATGTTAGTGCATGTCAACAAAAATTGTATCATTGGATTCGTATTTGAACATAGTTTTTAATGATATAATTTGTTGTAACATGCATAAATATTTTATTAGTTAAATTTATGATCAAAATTTGACACATATTACAATGAGGACCAATAAATCAGGACGAATGTAGTATTAGTTTATTCTAATTGCACTAATTAATCAGCAACTGTTTTGGCGTAGACCTAGTACAGTAGTAGTAGTACTACTGTACATTACTGCTAGAGATCAGCCAATAATCAGCTAGTTCGACGGAGCAACGGTTTTGACGTGGACTTATCCACTTCGCGCGTACGTAGTTTCATCAGTCCGCAAACAAACAAACAAATGTGACCATCGAAAATGAGGAGCGTCGCCACGGAAATGGCTCGGGGTCTGGTCGCTGTCTATCACTCGTGTCATGTCTTATCCACACCGGTCACCCTAGCTCGATCCCACGGATATGCCCGTGACAAATCGAACGCGCGCCCGCATATAACATTCGCCGCCACACACACGCAAAAAATGCATTAAACCATTCGCCCGCTCGCTGTCCGACGACTGAGCAAGGTTTCATCCTCCGCTCGCTTCTAATCTCATCAGCTCCCCGGTCTCCTCGCGCCTAATCAAACACGAACCTGTCGGGCACTATTCCCCGGTTTTTCCATGGGACAAAGGTGTCGCGGTCAGCTCGGCTGAATGTTCCAGCCCGTGGGAGGAGAAGAAGCAGGGATACTGCGCGCGTGTACCACTTGCTTGAAATTAAACGCGCACGCCGTTTGACATGACCCGTCGCCGTCCGGAGGTAGCCCACCGTAACATGTCTATCGTCGGTGGGACACTGCGAGCATGGAGGGTGTGCGGCACACGACCGACTGTGCGAAGCTGTGGCAGGTGAAGTGGAATAGCTCGCCTCAACCAGCCCGGGGACTCTCTCTGCAACCAATTAATTGTACTACTAGCAAATATGCGCCCGTGAGTTGTAACGGGAGACAAAAAAATTATAAGCTAACCAAATAAGTATGACTCAATACCTGATATATGAGGGTACTCTATTTTCACACAGTGGTTCGCCATGTTGCCATTTACTTTCTTTCTCATCCTCGTCGATGATGTCCACGTGATCACAATGCATTCGACGTGGTAAATCCCAAGGCTATGAGCTTGCCAGTGCATGTCACACTTGTCATTATGTTACGCAAGGCAACGTTTAAAACTTTAAAAACCAATCTTATCAACCACAAACTACTCCCAACGCTAAGACATATAAAGACTTTCAAAAACTAATCAAATCCTAGACATAATGTAGTTTTGAATCGGTGAACAGTTTTTTGAATCGACAAACGTTTTTTCTAATTTTGGATTTTCTCAAAAAAATCACGAACGTTAGTTTTGTTTACAAACAATTTTTAACTGTATGAACAGTTTTTGAATTCGTTAACATTTTTTGACTTAACAAAGATTTTTAAAAAAATGGGGAACATTTAAAGAAAATACTTTTATTTTTTGTGAACATTTTCTAAAATTACATGGACATTTTTTTTCAGATTCCTGAATATGCTTTGAATACACGATCATCTTTTTCAAAATCATGAACATGATTTTATTTCCTGACCAATTATTCCAAACTATGTTTTTTTTATAATTTGCGAACAGGTTTGCAAAACCACCAACATTTTTTGAATCTGCAAAAAAATTATGCTTTTCTAAACATTTTTGATTTTACATTCATTTTATGATTTTCTAAACATTTATAGCTCGAGGATCTATGGTTTATAACCGTCTCACATCTATAAAACAACATAGCAGGAGGCAACTTTTGATCCGACAAAGTGAATTTTTTTTTACTTATGGATGACATAGTGAGTAATTTATAGCAACTTTGGGGATATTTTTCTTGACAGACCGCCAGAAGCGATAGGCGGTTTATTAGTAGGTATAGATTTTCCAACCTTTTTTCGAGCTTCTTAACCAGAGGCCTACGATGCACCCTCAATGCGACCCGACATGAAAAGTAACTAAAAAAATCTGAAAGAAAACTATATATATAACTTACGATTCCTGCAGTACCTCCGTACCATGATGTCGAGCTCATTGATCGACTCGGGTCCCACGATGTCGTCCCTTCGCACAAGTATGGTGTCCAGACCGGACATCGCGTGCAGCCGTCCTCGCTGCCCCGGCACTAAATGGCGCCCCACCATGGTGAAGAGAGAGTGGAGTCCAGACCCGTCGAAGATGTGCATACGCCTTGAGTACTATCTCGGTGGTGGTGGGTCGCGACTATGTGCGTTCAGTTTATTCGGTTTACATGGTTTAGTTTATACGGTTTTTTGGGTTGTACGGTATTAATATTTTGGTAAATACAATTTGAAATTAAAATATGGTTCGATTTTGGTATATACCAAATCATTTCGGTATGGTTTCAGTATATACCATAGTTGACATGAATTTGAAAATGACGTCATAACAATTTATAAATTTATGACTGAAAACACATACTATTTTACAAAAATAACTATATATATAAGTATATATGCATGAGTGGATTGATCCATTGATTGTTATGGACGTGCTTAGCATTTTTTAAAGAGAAAAATGATTATGTTACAAGAAAAATGTACGTGCTTGGTAGTGAATTTGACTCATGTACAAGAAAAATGATAACTTGTATGGTTGTTTGCCTCAAGAAATATAAATTTATTTTGACTTCGGTTTATTCGGTTAACCATTCGGTTTTTTTGGTATATATCATAAAAACCAGAGTTCAGAACGGCACGAAAAGTTCATACCATACCAAAACCAAAAACCATAAAATTGGTTCGGTTCGGTTTATTTTCGGTATGATTTTTCGGTTCGGTTTAAAAATGCACAGAGTACGGTCGCGTGGCGTGTCCTCCTCGTCGTCGAAGGGCTCGAAATGACTCACCGAGGCGGAGCGGCACCGGGCGCAGGGTATGGTGGCATTGCCTAAAAAGACTCCCCGCCCCGCTTTATAGATAAAGCAACAATCACGATACAAGTCCAACCACAGAGGGAAGTCTAGAAGAAGTTACATGAGTACACAAAGAAAGAGAAGGAAGTTTCAACTATGAGCAACAACAAAACACACCCGAAATAAAAGATACAATCCTCAAGGAGGTTAAATGGCCGATGTGCCGCCAACTCCTTGCCTGCATAGTCGTTTCCATAACTGCAAGAACCCTAATAATTTATAAATCGCAGCAGTGGTATTGGTTGGGCAAACATGCTTAATGACAAGTTTATTCCTAATACACCACAAGTACCACACCAAAGGCCCTAAAGTTCACCCACATCACTCTACGGCCTTGGCCAGAGCAAGCGGCTATGTACTGATAGAACTCAGGGAAGCTAGTCGGACACCACCCATTGCCCCAGACTTCTCTAGGACAGCTCCACATGAACTGAGCCGAGGTACAATGGAATAAGATGTGGTATAGGTCTTCGTTGACGTTACGACGGCATTCACCAAGAGACAAGTGTTGTGGCTCAGGGTCCTTGCGGATCCCTCGATCGCGGAGGCTTGGGCCTTTATTCGGTTCAAGACCACCAAGGAGGCGGATGCCCTACTGCCGAGCGTCTGCCCTGACCCGCGACAAATCCACCCCTCGAGGCATCCGGAAGCCCTCGATGGCTGGGAACAACATTGCCACCATGGCTCCCTCCCTACCGCCTCCGATCGCCTAGCTAATGCCAAAGCCCGATCCAACACGAAACGTCTTTAAAGTAGCCCGACCCAACACAAAACCTCTTTAAAGTAGCAATTTTGACCATGCACCTTTTCTGCTTGTTCCATGCATCAAATTTCCAAATAATTTACTTCCTCCATCTGAATTACTGGTCATAGATTTATCTAAGAACGGTTGTATTTAGACATGTTTTAGTGTTAGATATATCTGTATATAGACACGTTTAGTGTTAGATGCATTCGTATCTAAAGAAATATAAGAAGTAATTTTGGACTTAGGTGATATATGATTTATCGTGAAACATACTAGTTCATTAGTACTATATTTTCTGAGCTATGCAAAAACCTTTGTGGAGAAATAACGGAAGGTCAAATTTGCTACAGCGGTTATTCGTGACAAGCAAATGACCGTGTTCGCCCACATATTCTGGCTCCCACGAGCGACTAATTCCTGGCAGTTGTGTCAACAACCTTTTTCTTGCTACGAAGGTGTGAGAAGCAGCGACGAACTTCTGGATGCGTGTAGCAAGTGCAGGAGAAAGGCGACGTTGATTTTTCCAACGCTTTGTGCTATTCTTCAGTCAGTTTTTTTAAGGTGAAGCTAAGTTTTATTGATCATAAACCATATAAAGGGGTAAAAAAAATCATGGGATGAATCAACCATAAATATCGCCCCTGATCTAGTATATTGGAGAACTTAGCTAAGAGCAACCCTAGCAGACCCCGTATCCCGCCGATCCGCAAAACACGTTTGTAGTTCGCGCAAAACCGCTTTTGCGGGCCGGCGCGGGCTGGCACAGATGCAGACCCCCCAAACGGATCCGTAAAAAAGTATATTCGCGGAATATGCTTTTTTACGGGTCGGCTATGCGGGTTCTGCTCGGACACCACCGTAACGACCCGCAAACAGATAAACTGCAAATCTCGCATTTGACATAGGATTTCACAAACAAGTTTAAATTCAAACGGCATAAATAGTTTTACGCGCAAATAGAAGCCAACTTCATTACGGCTAACGCAAAAGAGGGCCCTGCAAAAGGTTTGCGCCCATGTCCAGCATCATCTTGATCGATCTTCACTCCGCGCCATCGAGTCCACCTTGGAGTTCATCGGCGCCACCGAATCCACCTCCGGCGCTTGTCCAACTCCCGCACCGAAATCATCCACATTGCCACCATATGGAGCGGAGAAAACATCACCGGAACTGTAGCACGGACCGGCCGACACCACCATTCTTCTCTTCAAGATTTCTCTCCTTGCCATATCACGGCGCGACGTGGGCTTGGGCGACGGCGGCGGGGCCAACATGGCCGGCGACGAGATTGGCCCGAGGGGAAGGGGCGTGCTCGACCTCGACAGTAACGGGGGACAGCATGGGGTCGTCCATGGGAGCGAGGGACGGCCGGGGAGGAGCAGTCGGAACTTGCGGTGTGGGGACAATGGTGGCGGAGGGTGCGGGGAGCGGGAAGGGCCGCGCGGAAATGTCCTTCCCGCCAAATCTCACGCGGGATAAGGGTTGAGCTAGGGTCGGCCTCCCAGCCCGTGAAGATAGAGGTTGGGGAAGAAGATTTGCCGCGCCCCGCAAAAAAATTTGCGGGCCGGAGCGGGATACGGGGTCTGCTCGTGCAGATTTTCTAGCCCTGACCCGTGATTTGGAGGTTATTTTGCGGGTCAGGACGATTTGCGGGGTCTGCTAGAGTTGCTCTAACCTATTTGCATCAGTATTAGATGCTCGATCTTCAAATACAAAGGTACAATTGAAAAACCTCGCTCATTGCTTAACCTCGCTAATGATGCACCCGCAGTTACCATTTGTTCCTCTTCCAGTATCATTCACCACCTGTTTTGAGTGAGAAGCAATTACAAATTTTTGGATCATCAAATCCTCAGCCAGAGATAAAGCTTCTCTACACGCCATTACTTCGAGTGTAGCCACATCAATAATCCCTTGAACATTCAAAGAAGAACTTCCCAGATATAGTCCTGACTCATCACGGCATACTACTACCGCGGAACCTCTCATCGCGGATTTGACGACACTTGCATCAACGTGAATTTTTGCACACCATTGCGGCGGAGCTCTCGGTCTAGCTGTTGCGGTTCTAGCCTCGGTAGGTGCCCTGACTCCTTTCTGTGATATTAGATCAAGGTCTGCTATGAATCTCTTAATAAATTCATATGTAGCTGAAGGACTCTGATAAATTTCCTCTTATATCACTTGTCTCTTTGCCCACCATATTGCCCATAAAATCACTGATAATTTAACAAAGGCGTCATGTGATAATGTATCTATCATCCAAAAGAGCCACTGCTTGGTGCTTGGTTCAGATGCTTCACACAGGTGCTCTGCCAACTCACCATCGACAAGTGCCTAGACACACCTTGCCACGCCATGGTGCATTCAAGCAACGAATGTGTCCAGAAGTCTGCAGCTCCACACAAAGCACAGGAACTAGTCGTTGACATTTTTGTGTGAGCCCTCACATCCTCAGTGGGCAACGAATGCTTCACTAGTCTCCAAAGAAACATGCGAATTTTACCTGGGTCTGGCTTCTTCCATAGTATTTCCCAAGATGATTCATCGTCTCTATCATTACTCGAGGAACCGGAAGTGCCATCTAACCAGGCTTCACGTCTTAATTTTGTGGCGATCAACATCTTATAAGCCCATGTACGAAGGTTGGCTGATATTGGACTGACAGCCCACATTCCACGCACAACCAGGCTGAATTCGCAAGCACCCATAGTGGTGCATGTACAAAGATCGATTAATTAGCCAGAATAGCCCAAAACAGGATTAATTTGCCAGAGGTGTGTAACATGTGCACGTGCGCTTGTGCGTGAGTGTTTGTGTTGTGTGAGTGCACGCACGCGCGTTTGTTTGTGGTGTGTGTGTCCGCACGTGCGTGCGTGTTACAATTCAGTTTCGTAGGTGCCATGAGATGATTATTTTCAATATTGACATTTCTTTCTTCATTTTATTTCTTCTTGTAGGTAATACCGATGTCTGTTACAAAATTTTACTTCAAATTTTACTTCGAATAAATTTTGTGTTTATTTTTTCTTTTGTTTCGGGTAACACCACTTTTATTAGTCTTTCTTTTTTAATCGATATTTGTATTCCTCCTAATAACATATGTTTATAGTTCTATTTATTACTATTAATAATAAAGTGACTCCGGCTCTAAAAGTTCTACTTTTCTATCTTGTGCAAATGTCTCCTTTTTTTTGTTCCTTACTCGTTATTTTTTTGCCTTTGCATTCTCCTATATTTGTGTAGGTGACTGTGGTTTGATGTTGCAAACTTGTGACACTACTTAATTTCACGATAGGTACCTAAAATAAAATTTATTTTTCATGCTAATATATGTGTCAGACTATTGATAAGAAAGGAAAAAAAAATTCCCGCTTGTGCCTCTGGCTTCTGTTTTTTTCCTGCGTAGTACT